TGTTGAGTTATGCCGACCCACTGTGAAACCCCCTATCCCTGTTAGTGTATGTTGATCCTAACTGGACCGTGGGGGTGTGTCACATGATTGGTCCATTAACCCCTAGGGCTCTGATTGTTGGCCTTGTGTCCTGTTTCCGGCCCTCCACTCCATAGAGCTAAAACTGTCATGTCCCATTTATTTTTGTGTGACTGTGTTGTAGTCACAATTCGGCGATGGTTGTTTCTAATTCGGCTCACTTTCTATAATTAATCTGTTTATACACATTTGATCTATTTCAATCCTTTCTGCTGAGTTCCTGTTTGGGGAGTCAGAGATGTAAAGCGTGTCGGTAGCCTGGAGCCTTCCCTTACAGAACAACCACATGATTCCACGTGGAAAATCACATGATTTCACATGAAATTTCACATGTGAAATCATATGAAAACTGTTTTTGGAACACTTCACATGTGATCACATGTTTTCACATGTGTAGTTCAAATCAAATCAAATTTTATTGGTCACATATACATATTTAGCAGATGTTATTGCGGGTGTAGTGAAATGCTTGTTTCATGTTATCACATGTTGCTTTACATGTTGTCACGTGTTATCACATTAACTTCACATAAGATCACATCCGATCACATGAAATTCATGAGTTTTTTCCATAAGAGTTGAGTCAGAGGGATCAGTAAACATGAGTAGGGCTTTATAGAGGTTTTTGTGTTAAAGCTCGGACACACCAGCAGGATTGTCATATGTTTGCCAGACGACAGTACTTAGCACATCTGAACAGAGTGACAGAAGTAAATCTCTTTTGTGTTCACATAGCAAAGACCTTGGAAGTCGTCAGCCACTAGCCAGATGACCACAGCTAGATAACTACCTAGCAAGATGACAAAGAAACAATTTAATTCACTCTCCATAATCCCATACAGCCAGTGCCAGCCCATAGCCAAATGTTTAGCTAGCTAGCTAACTTGAGCATATTCGCTAGCTAGCACAACATAGCTAGCTAGCTAAGCACAATGCACTAACTCGGCAGCTGATACAGGCAGATGTTTCATGGAAACTAGCTAATCCATTGTGATTTAATTATAATGTCAATACTAGCTACAGTGGTTAGGTAGCTTGGAGTAAGTATTTAGTGTTGTGTGCATTGCGTCTGTGCACAGCCTACATTGCATATGATGTGTGACTGGCTCATCTGTGGATGTACGGAGAAAATGCCCTATTTTTTCCTTTTATTTTGTTGGCTCTCCCACGTGGGGGTTCGTGCTCTCTGATTGGCTCAAAGTCAAGTTGTAGGCCACTGACCAGCATTGCGATTCTGCAAGTAGAAATGGTAAGTTCGTCGGTACCGGGTCGGCACACAGCAGGTACTGCTTTTCTTCTAGCAAGAGAAGGATTGCCTCCAACTACAGCCTGGTCTCATAGGCTAGACTTAACATAGTAAACGTATCATATTAGTATGATATGTTACGTTTGGTATGGTTACATAAGACAGAAGGTTACATCCCTTTCCTGCAGTCAATGACCAAAAGCGCCCTCTTTGGCCTCATGGGTGGAATGTCATTAATATTTTTCATAATTTCATAATTAATAAAGATATATATTTTTTAAACAGACCAAAATCAGGTGTTTCTATGTCAAACAGTTTTGTTATATTTCACTCTTCTGTGATGTATATCAAGTGTAATATTGGGATGCTAACTCAACATTTAATTTAATTCAACCATATATCTGACATGGTACAGGTGTCTTCTTTGTTTTAAGCCATGTGTGTGAGTTGTATACTTTTGTTTCAAAGTAGATTTGTTTAAGACTACCAAGAATCACTCTTTGTGACCATGATTTAGCCCACTGCAGTAAAAGGTTAAGTCAAAAACGAAAGGAGGGTGGTTGGTCAGGGTGGATGGGTAGGCGTATAAAGTGAAGGTCTAGCAATCCAAAGGTTGCATGTTTGAATCTCATCACAGACAGCTTTAGCATTTGAGCTAATTAGTAGATTTTCATCTACTTACTACTTTTAAGATACTTTGCAATTGCATAGCATGTTAGCTAACCCTTCCACTAAAAATAACAATAACCCTTTAGCTAACCCTTCCCCCAACCTTAACCTTAAACCTAACCTTAACCCTAACCCCTAGCCTAGCTAACTAACGTTAGCCACAGCAAATTGGACTTCTTAACATATCATATGTTTTCCAAATTCATAACATATTGTACGTTTAGCAAATTCATAACATATTATATGAATTTTAACTCAGAATATAATATACGAAATGGATGATGGACATCCACAAACTAATACATACCATACAAAACTTAACATACAGTGCTTTCAGAAAGTATTCACACCACTTTACTTTTTCCACATTTTGTTGTGTTACAGCCTGAATTTAAAATGTATTAAATTGAGATTTTCTGTCACTATGCCTATGCACAGTACCCCATAATGTCAAAGTGGAATTATATTTTTAGAAAATTTTACAAATTAATTAAAAATGAAAAGCTGAAATGTATTGAGTCAATAAGTATTCAACCCCTTTGTTACGGCAAGTCTAAATAAGTTCAGGAGTAAAAATGTGCTTAACAAGTCACATAATAAATTGCATGGATTCACTCTGTGTGCAATAATAGTGTTTAACATGATTTTTGAATGACTAACTCATCTCTGTACCCCACACATACAATTATCTGTAAGGTCCCTCAGTCGAGCAGTGCATTTCAACCACAGATTCAACCACAACGACCAGGGAGGTTTTCCAATGCCTCGAAAAGAAGGGCATCTATTGGTAGTAAAAAAAAAAAAAAGCAGACATTGAATATCCCTTTGAGCATGGTGAAGTTATTAATTACACTTTTGATGGTGTATCAATACACCCAGTCACTAAAAAGATACAGGCATCCTTCCTAACTCAGTTGCTGGAGAGGAAGGAAACTGCTCAGGGATTTCACCATGAGGCCAATGGTGACTTTAAACCATTTAAAATGGTTACAGAGTTGAATGGCTGTGATTGGAGAAAACTGATGATGGATCAACAACATTGTAGTTACTCAACAATACTAACCTAATTGACAGAGTGAAAAGAAGGAAGCCTGTACAGAATAAAAATATTCCAAAACATGCATCCTGTTTGCAACAAGTCACTAAAGTATTACAACAACAAAAAATACAATGTGAATGAATACAATGTGTTATGTTTTGGTCAAATCCACATTTCTGAGTACCACTCAAGTGGTGGCTGCATCATGTTCTGGGGATGCTTGTAATTGTTAAGGACTGTGGAGTTTTTCAGAATAAAAAAGAAACAGAATGGAGCTAAGCACAGGCAAAATCCAAAAATCCTGGGGATGCTTCAGTGAATGTTCCTGAGTGGCTGAGTTACAGTTTTGACTTAAATATGCTTGAAAATCTATGGCATGACTTCAAAATGGCTGTCTAGCAATAATCAACAACCAACTTGAAGAATTTTGAAAAGAAAAATGGGCAAATGTTGCACAATCCAGGTGCCTCTTAGAGACTTACTCAGAAAGACTCACAGCTGTAATCGCTGCCAAATGTGATTCTAACATGTATTGACTCAGGGGTGTGAATACTTATGTAAATTACATATTTCTGTATTGAATTTTCAAAAAACATGTTTTCACATTGTCATTATTGGGTATTGTTTTACATTTTACATTTTAGTCATTTAGCAGACGCTCTTATCCAGAGCGACTTACCGTTAGTGAGTGCATACATTTTTCATACTGGCCCCCTGTGGGAAACGAACCCACAACCCTGGCGTTGCAAGCGCCATGCTCTACCAACTGAGCTATTGTATATAATGGGTTAGAAAAAATATATATTTAATCAATTTTTAATTCAGGCTGTAACACAACAAAATGTGGAATAAGTCAAGGGGTATGAATACTTTCTGAAGGCACTGTATCATACTAAATGGGGTGTCTCGGATTTACATACAGAATAATACGAAAAGCTCTGAGACCAGGTTTCCCACTGTGATAAGTACCTATCAGCAGTGAGATTTTCGGTGTGTTTCATGCTTTAGAATCCCTAACCCTCTGTAAAACAGAGCACTCACACTTGCAATATTCTCTTTGGCTCATCTGAATAGTTTATATATATTTTATTTTTAACACATTCTGAAAGCCTCCTTGAGATCCTAGATGACGATGGATGCCTCCTGTGGTATAGAATAAACAGGCAGTGAAATATGGTTTCCAGAATTTGTTTATCCAAGTGGTTTATTTTAATGTAAAACTGACCAGGAGTTATAAGTTCCAGCATGATCCCCTGCCACAGTTATTTGAACTGAGTAAGTGTGGACAAGTTGTAGCCAAAGGGTTTAGTTGATAATTAAGTTCAGCTGATGCTATTGAAATGTAAGGACAGATTCAGGGAGGAGGCATTCTTAACTACTATGATTAAGAGAAAGATCTTAATGTCCCATCCTCTATAAATAAGCTAAAGGTTTTATTGCCAAGACTAAAAGACAGGCCCAGCCTTTTGTGTTTGATCTGTGTTATTTGTGTATGTCAACAAGAGGACTTAATATACTGTATGTCAATCCAGAGAGAAGGTTATGAGCTGTTGCGTTATGGTTACCTTGTATTTAACTTATTGTCCCAGTTTTTCATTAACGCTAAATTGGGATTTTCAATGAATAGATACCATGAAAATGACTTGTATTTAAAGGCCTCATCAGGGAACATTGAGTAAGCCAACTATACTTATGTTTGATGGATCTGTTTGTCAGTATGTTATTTTGCGTCAGTGGTGTCTTCTACTTGTCTTGATTGAACTGGCTGTTCTTGCAGCTATGTTTATCGACAGGCCCCAGGGTAGACAATATCTCTCATTTGAACTTTAAAATGGAATGACAGCCTGTTGTCCCGCTGTCTAATAGTCCTCTGCTGTCAACCATGTTGTGTGGAAACACTAGGGACACACAGTCAATAACAACAATCATGTAACCACTTGTCTCTCTCTTTCGCTCCCTCGCTCTCAGTTGGCAGCTCCAGCCATGCTCTACTGGACAAGTCCCTGGAGGAGAGCTTCATGTTTCCCTATCACTTGAGTCCTGAGGACGAGAGCCAAAGTAAGAATCAACCACACCAAGCTGTTTTTCATTAGGAGACCTGGGGAAGAATGCATGATTGACTTATTAAATAAATCACATAGAACTCTCTCCCATATCATCAGTATGAAATATTCAGTGTCTACAGATGTAGGATCTTAATTTGATCACTATTTTGTTGCTGATAATTTTCCTGCACAGCAGGAAATGTAAACTTGTAGTGTATTTGAGTTTTAAAAATGCTTCTAAAGTTTGTAATTTCCACTTTTAAATTGTATCAACCACTACACAAATGTGCATGAATTATAATCCCCATAATAATTCACTTTTCCTGTTGCTACAGGATAATTTTCCTGCTGCAGCAAACTGGATCAAATTAAGTTCCTACATCTGTATGGAACCCAACCTGTTTAGTGTCATTAATGATCATGTGTGTCAGGGACAATGGGGTTCCGGTGTCTGTTGCTATTGAATGTGTTACGTTATAGGGCTGCCGTTTCTCTTAGGTAGTAGTATGTGTGGTCTGCAGAGAGTGAATCAATGTTTAAAACTATAGAAAGAACTAATCTAATACCCAAAAGTAACTACTATTCATGTGTAATTACATGATTCTGACATGCAAAAACGTGGTATATTTGGAAAGAAGACATCTGGGAGATTATGAGGAAATGATCAGAAGATAGATAGGAGTTACATAGTTCAGAATACACAAGATCAAGCACAAACAAAATAACCGTTTTTTGTTGTTGTTTTTTTACTCATCTTTCATTGACAAGCGATAAGTAAATTATTGATGACTAGAGCTGCAAACACATCAGATGGCTTCCACAACATGTGAACAGAAAAAAAAATGGGATTGATAGACCTAACAACTGGAAATGGGCAGATGTTTTAGTAAGTGGTGTCAGGTGTGGTCATGGGATGTTTCCAAGTGTCCCTAAACCTCTCCAAAGTGGCATATGTCTGTAAATTAGATAATTCCAGTGCTATTACATATTTGCAATCCCTAAATGCTATTTGTTCAGTATAAAAACACAATTTCTACCATGTCAACCTCACTCAAACATTGTGGTGGTGTTATGGGGTATCCAGGGTACATTCAAGTGTCCTTTCAACCTCTCCAAAGTGTCCGAATGTGGTAATTGCACTTTTTTTGCACACTGGATGTGCCTAAAAGTTATTGTTCACTATAAAAACTAAATTCCTACAACATCAACCTCTCTCAAACATTGTGGTGGTGTCGGGGGACATACAGGGGATATGGATCATATTTTTGATGCGCAAAGATATAGTCACTCGGTGGACATTCGATATTGCCATTAAGTCATACATCATCAGATAACATTGGCAATAGGCTAGAGTTGTTCCTACCAACCTAATGATTCATTTGATACCCCCCATGTAGCTATAGCTCAAACACAGACCAAATCGAAGCTTACCTTGTAAAATGTTTGCTGTTTGGTGAAAACGTTGTGTAAAATAAACATTTTGACTCTCGGGGCTGGTGATCAAGAACGGTAGGTCATAGGCAGACAAATAAGATATCCTCATGATCTGTGGAGTCCCGGCTTTCGGTGTGTATCAACGTATTCCGTGTTTATTTCATTTATGCTTCACAACGCTAACCGGAATGTATGTAGCAGCCATCTTGAAATGGGGTCATTGGCTCGGCCTGCCCTTATAAATTCGTATGCCCATATATGGTAGTACGTCATACCAAAGATTTGAAGGCACCGATCAATAACCAAGATACTCAGCTTTCGGCAGACATCCTACTTTTGCAGATAGGGGCTACCGTTCTCATACCAGACTGAATTGAATAAAAAAAATCGAATAGGGTCCCCAAATATTATTAAGAGTTAAATGAAGACCCTCTTGAAATTGAGTTTCACACAAAAATCCTCATCTACATTGTTTATTTACGACCAAAACTTGTCTTTATAGTAACCCATCCAACTGCATTTCAATAAAATGGATTTCATTCAATTTTCCACCTAACCACTTCCATTCTGATATTTCTGTGTCCCAGAGGAAAGCGATGTGGTTTTCTTATTAGTGGTTTCACTCCTTCAGGACCCATCACATGACTCCCTCCACATTCACTTGGGTTAGATTGGGATTGTTAGATTCCCCATGACAATTGTGGAGCCCCTAAAAATTTATATTTTCCTCTTCCAGACTGACATTCCCTGGTCTTCTCTGATTAGTTGTTTTTATGTTTGATCATTCACAAATCACTAGTTGGTGCTAGGCTTCATCAGACACCAAGGAACGTTCTTAGTCTGCACTATAAAACACTTTTGTATTGTCTTGTCGGTGTCTTGTTGGAGGAATGCTACATATATCCTGCACTGTACTTTGGGAAAGTTCAAGCGCTAATGGAATCAGTCTGAATAAGGTCATTTTAATCTAGCCTGGTTGATGAGAAGAAAGTGTACTGAATATGTACTGACATGAGTCATTTGTGCGTGAGTGTGTGTGTGTCTAGTAGCATTATGTTAAATTATGGCTTTTTGTTAAGGCTCAGATATGCTTTATAATGGGTTTTCAATGTTAAACCCCCCGAAAAATTCAACTAATTATGCTATATGCCTGTATTTGGTTTGGCATCTGCTGTTCTTAGAGATAGTCAGAGTGGTCTACTTATTGTCACTGACAAATGTGCTTTCAGGTAATGCATGTCAGAAAGCTCCTTTGGTACAAGTGGAAAGTGTCAGTGACCGCTATGAGGCTACCAATTATGTGGATCACTCTGCATTACTTGTCTGAATATGTTCCGAATGACAGTAGAAACAGTAAAGCCTTCTAACTGTGGTAACTGTACCAAGGACATGTAAATACTTTAGCCAATTTCCTGTAACCATAATGGTTTCAAATGATATTGCCCTGAAATTTGGTTCATTTCTACTAATTTCACCCATGGGCATTTGGAGTTTTACTTCTCATGTAAGGAACTACTGGTAGAATGGAGTATACAGTTAAGGAGTTGTGATGTCCTCATCTCATCATACTTCTGAAGCAGGCAGCCATGTTGGCCTAAATTGGCATCAGATGAGGATCATTAGTTCCATGTCTTTCTGTCATTCATTTGTAGAATTAAGTTCAACTCATTTGATTACAATCAGGTGGAGTTTCCCTCTTGATTTCCATGTTGATGTGAATGAATACGGTAATGAACACAGTACAATAGAAATGACATCCTGCAGTGGCCAATGTTTAGCAAGAATGTGTGACCAGTCCATAGAGTCAGTCTCAGACCTAATGGATCTCTTTATCCTCACTCCTGCAGCTACCTCTTGTGATTTTGAATCGCCTTGCTCCTGGACCTTCTCCAATCACAGCATCAGAAATGACTGGAGGGTAATGTCACCACAGCAACACAGATCAAGCACACAGGCCATGAAGCCGGTCAGCGACCATTCGGAGGGGAGCTCTGACGGTAAGGGAGGAAGCACAGTCACAAAGAGAATACTCCATGTGTGTTTCACTCACACCTTTAATGTGCTACTCCTTTCATCTCACTGAGAGCATAGTGTAGTATACTGTATACAGGGAGATGTAATGGAGTCGTTAGAGAGATGGCGACGTGTGTTGAGCACTGGGGGGGGACCCAGCCAAAAGAAAAGGGGCTACGGTGTGTAACACTGTAAGTAGGTATACAGTGCATTCGGAAAGCATTAAGACCCCTTGACTTTTTCCGCATTTTATTATGTTACAGCCTTATTCTAAAATTGATCAAATTAATGTTTTTCCTCATCAATCTACACACAATACCCCATAATAACAAAGCGAAAACAGGTTTTAAGAAATTTGTGCACTTTTTAATATATATATTTTTTTTTACAGAAATACCTTATTTACTGAAGTATTCAGACCCTTAGCTATGAGACTCGAAATTGAGTTCAGGTGCATCCTGTTTCCATCGATCATCCTTGAGATGTTTCCACAACTTGATTGGAGTCCACCTGCGGTAAATCCAATTGATTGGACATGATTTGGAAAGGCACACACCTGTCTATATAAGGTCCCACAGTTGACAGTGCATGTCAGAGCAAAAACCAAGCCATGAGGTCGAAGGAATTGTCCGTAGAGCTCCGAGACAGGATTGTGTCGAGGCACAGACCTGGGGAAGGGTACCAAAACATTTCTGCAGCTTTAAAGGTCCCCAAGAACACAGTGGCCTCCATCATTCTTAAATGGAAGAAGTTTGGAACCACCAATACACTTCCTAGGGTTGGCCGCCCTGGCCAAACTGAGAAATCGGGAGAGAAGGGCCTTGGTCAGGGAGGTGACAAAGAACCCGATGGTCACTCTGACAGAGCTCCAGAGTTCCTCTGTAGAGATGGGAGAATCTTCCAGAAGGACAACCATCTCAGCAGCACTCCACCAATCAGGCCTTTATGGTAGAGTGGCCAGACGGAAGCCACTCCTCAGTAAAAAGCACATGACAGCCCCCTTGGAGTTTGTCAAGAGGCACCTAAAGACTCTCAGACCATGAGAAACAAGATTGTCTGGTCTGATGAAACCAAGATTGAACTCTTTGGCCTGAATGCCAAGCATCACGTCTGGAGGAAACCTGGCACCATCCCTACGGTGAAGCATGGTGGTGGCAGCATCATGTTGTGGGGATGTTTTTCAGCGGCAGGGACTGGGAGACTAGTCAGGATTGAGGGAAAGATGAACGGAGCAAAGTACAGAGAGATACTTGATGAAAACCTCCTCCAGAGCTCTCAGGACCTCAGACTGGGGCGAACAGGACAATGACCCTAAGCACACAGTCCAAGACAATGCAGGAATGGCTTCGGGACAAGTCTCTGAATGTCCTTGAGTGGCCCAGCCAGAGCCCGGACTTGAACCCGATCAAATATCTCTGGAGAGACCTGAAAATAGCTGTGCAGCCACACTCCCCATCCAACCTGACAGAGCTTGAGAGGATCTGCAGAGAAGAATGGGAGAAACTCCCCATATACAGGTGTGCCAAGCTTTTAGCGTCATACCCAAGAAGACTCGATGCTGTAATCCCTGCCAAAGGTGCTTCAACAAAGTACTGAGTAAAGGGTCTGAATACCTAAAAACCTGTTTTTGCTTTGTCATTATGGGGTATTGTGTGTAGATTGATGAGGGTAAAAAAATGGCTGTAACGTAACAAAATGTGGAAAAAGTCAAGGGTTCAGAATACTTTCCAAATGCACTGTATGTGCAGTAGGATAATGTAGCATATTTCCCCTCATCTTTTTGATGTGTTGTTTTGCTTTAAAATCAACTGAAAATACTGCTTTCAGTCAGAACAATACAAATACTTCCCTTTGGGTTGGGTTTTTCGTCCAAACATTTCAAATTATTGTCTGTCTCCCTCCCTTTCTAGGTCACTTCCTGCTTTTGAGTCCCTCCTCTTCCTCCAGGGCGTCTAGGAAGTGTGAATACTATATCACTAGTCCAGTGGTCTACAGTAGTGGCCCACTATGCCATCTGCAGCTGGCCCGCTTTGAGTCGGGGCTCACCGCTGGAAATCTCTCAGTCTTAGTGAAACCAGTCAACTCAGCATCTGTCATCAGTACGTCAGCTCTCAGTGGCAGAGCCCAAGATGGCACCAGGTCAGCATGTTTTGATTTACGCTCATGTTTAGCCTCTTATGTTTCGATTTTAGGCTCATTTTTATCTTCTTATATTTTGATTTTACTCAGTACTTTACTCAGTATGGAATGACGGGGTTGTTTTAAGGAAGACATGGGTCAATCTGCTGCAATGCACTGAAGTGCAGGTTCTTGGGATGCCTAGAGGGACTTGACATACAATAAGTTTTACATATGGCATGGAAATACCACGACAACCCTTGACATAGAGAGAGATCACCTTTGTGTACATATTCTTGGGCCAAAGTTAGGCACAGCCATTCTGGGACCAGATAAAAGCCTTTTGGTTCCAAATGCAGACCCTGAAATGAATTTGGACATAACTGGTCTGGACAGTAGCGGGGAGGGGTGGGCTGTGGCTATGCAACAAGATTATACTCTGGCCTCTTTATTTGTAGAGTAATGGAGTGCTTGTCCATTATGAAAGAGGTTTTAACTCACAGACAGTAAGATGGTGAGTACTGGGGATAACAGGACACCTCAATCACCACTGGAAGCAAGACATCCTGTGTGAACAGGAGTGGAAATAGAGAAGAAAACAGTTGGAAGTCAACACAGAATATACAGTAATGTAGGATGTAATTTGTTTTCTATGGTTCGGTATGAAACCTTGACTATGTACAGGTACATTAGTACATAGTAGCTATGAACAGAGCTGAGGTATTAATAGAAGTGGGCAGTTAAGAGCATCTCTTGAATAAAGGCATAGCCTGTCATGAAAAAAAAAACTCATCAGGGTTTAATCTTCGATTTGAAAGGTGATGTACACGTATTTCATTTAGCTTCTCATATCTTAGTCAATCCACACTACCTAAATCAGTTTGGGAGTCGTCTTCTAACGTGAGCTAGCTAATCTATAAATATTCATTGGTGGGGCGATATGCTGCTAGGTTCTCTGACAGGTCTCAGATAAAGGGATTTGAGAATTACTGGATTTCTCGGTTCCAAATGAAAGTTGTTTAAGACGCCATGCAGTGGGGTCTCATAGCTCTTGTGCTGTCGTTGAGCTCAGGGAACCTCAGGTAGATGGTTATTGTATGGTATTGCAGGAGCAGAAACATCATAGAGCCAATGTGAAAACAGTCTTCCCACTGGGCACAGACGTCAATTCAACGTCTATTCCACGTTGGTTCAACATAATTTCATTGAAATGACGTGGAAACAACATTGATTCAACTAGTGTGTGCCCAGTGGGCTTCAAGCACATATTCAACCACAAAGACCAGGGAGGTTTTCCAATGGTTTGCAAAGAAGGGCACCTATTGGTAGATGAGTTTTAAAAAAAAAAAGCAGAAATTGAATATCCTTTTGAGCATGGTGCAGTTATTAATTACTTTGGATGGTGTATCACTGCACCCAGTCACTACAAAGATACAGGCGCCCTTCCTAACTAAGTTGCCAGAGAGGAAGGAAACCACTCAGGGATTTCATTATGAGGCCAATGGTGATTTTAAAACAGTTGCATAGTTTAATGGCTGTGATAAGAGATAACTGAGGATGGATCAACAACATTGTAGTTACTTCACAATACTGACATAAATGACAGAGTGAAAAGAAGGAAGCTTGTACAGAATAAAAATATTCCAAAACATGCATCCTGTTTGCAATAAGGCAAGTGGCCAAGAAATTAACTTTTTGTCCTGAATACAAAGCGTTATGTTTGGGGCAAATCCAACACATCACTGAGTACCACTCTTCATACTTTCAAGTATGGTGGTGGCTGCATCATGTTATGGGTATGCTTGATATCGGCAAGGACAAGGGAGTTTGTTAGGATAAAAAGAAACGAAATCGAGCTAAACACAGGCAAAATCATAGAGGAAAACTTGGTTCAGTCTTCTTTCCAACAGACACTGGGAGACAAATTCACCTTTCACCAGGACAATTACGTAAAACACAAGGCCAAATATTCACTGGAGTTGCTTCCCAAGACGACATTGAATGTTCCCGAGTGGCCTAGTTACAGTTTTGACTTAAATCGGCTTGAAAATCTATGGCAAGACTTGAGAATGGCTGTCTAGCAATGATTAACAACCAACTTGACAGAGCTTGAATAATCTTTTTAAGAATAATGTGCAAATATTGTAGCCAGAAAGACTGCCAAAAGTGATTCTAACATGTATTGACTCAGGGGGGGGGGGGGGGGGGTAAAATAACTATCTAATCAAGATATAAGAGTTTTATTTCCCATTTTAAAAAAAGAGTTATACTTTTTCTTCCACTTTGACACATACACACACACACACACACACACTTAACCCTCTGTTTGCTAGGAATAGGGCCCAGTGGGAGGTGCTGGAGGCGGTGATTGGAGAGGTGGATGAGCCCTTCCAGGTGACCCTACTCTACTCCACCTGCCTGGGGAAGGATAGGGGTGCTCTGGCCCTCGACTCCCTGGACCTCATAGACTGTGACATGGGTACGTTATGAACTACATCTCCAAACATCAATAGAAACATCAAAATACAATGATTTTTTAACTTGAGTGTATTATGGTGGACTAACCCAGAAGTTAAATGTGAACTCTTTCATGTTCCAGGTCACCATGACTTAGAGCTGGGCACAGACTGTGACGAGAGCACGTCTATCCACTGTGACCTGGGAGGCTGCATTGACAAGACTAGTGTGTGTGACTTCCACAGTGACTGCCCCCTAGGGGAGGATGAGGGATTTATCTGTGGTGAGTCTGTGAGGTCTTCAACAGTGCAACAACGTTACATGACATTACTCATGGGCCAGGAAAAACTCTGGGCCATATGTACTGTATGTGTACGTTGCATCTGATCTTTCCAAGAAACATGTTGTTGAAGATGTGTATATATTGTATCATACTTTGAGAAATTGGATGAAGAAAAAAATTACTGCGAGGGTTGGTGGTATTTAGATAATTATTTTGCACTGGGAATATTTTTTAAAAGTGGCAATATTTCGAGAATAAAGTGGCAATATTTCGAGAATAAAGTCTAAATTACATTTAGTAATTAAAGTGGCAATATTTCAAGAATAACGTGGCAATATTACGAGAATAAAGTGGCAATATTTTGAGAATAAAGTGGCAATATTTTGTGAATAAAGTAGCAATATTACGAGATAAAGTGGCAATATTACGATAATAAAGTGGCAATATTTCGAGAATAAATTAGAAATTACATTTTGTGAATAAAGTGGCAATATTTTGAGAATAAAGTGGCAATATTTTACATTTAGATTTACATTTACGTCATTTAGCAGACGCTCTTATCCAGAGTGACTTACAAATTGGTGCATTCACCTTATGATAGCCAGTGGGACATCCACTTTACAATGTATTTTTTAGAGTATATTTTTAATTTTCATTTGTTTTATATATATATATTTTTTTAATGATTTTTATTTTGTGGGGGTGGGGTAGGGGGATGGTAGAAGGATTACTTTTATACTATCCCAGGTATTCCTTAAAGAGGTAGGGTTTCAAGTGTCTCCGGAAGGTGGTCAGTGACTCCGCTGTCCTGGCGTCGTGAGGGAGCTTGTTCCACCATTGGGGTGCCAGAGCAGCGAACAGTTTTGACTGGGATGAGCGGGAACTGTGCTTCCTCAGAGGTAGGGGGACCAGCAGGCCAGAGGTGGAAGAACGCAATGCCCTCGTTTGGGTGTAGGGACTGATCAGAGCCTGAAGGTAAGGAGGTGCCGTTCCCCTCACAGCTCCGTAGGCAAGCACCATGGTCTTGTAGCAGATGCAAGCTTCAACTGGAAGCCAGTGGAGTGTACGGAGGAGCGGGGTGACATGAAAGAACTTGGGAAGGTTGAACACCAGACGGGCTGCAGCATTCTGGATGAGTTGTAGGGGTTTAATGGCACAGGCAGGGAGCCCAGCCAACAGCGAGTTGCAGTAATCCAGACGGGAGATGACAAGTGCCTGGATTAGGACCTGTGCCACTTCCTGTGTAAGGTAGGGTCGTACTCTGCGAATGTTGTAGACCATGAACCTACAGGATCGGGTCACCGCTTTGATGTTAGCGGAGAACAACAGGGTGTTGTCCAGGGTCACGCCAAGGTTCTTTGCACTCTGGGAGAAGGACACAACGGAGTTGTCATCCGTGATGGCGAGATCATGGAGCGGGCAGTCCTTCCCCGGGAGGAAGAGCAGCTCTGTCTTGCCGAGGTTCAGCTTGAGGTGGTGATCCGACATCCACACTGATATGTCTGCCAGACATGCAGAGATGCGATTCGCCACCTGGTTATCAGAAAAGGGGAAAGGAGAAGATTAATTGTGTGTCGTCTGCGTAGAAATGATAGGAGAGACCATGTGAGGATATGACAGAGCCAAGTTACTTGGTATATAGAGAGAATAGGAGAGGGCCTAGAACTGAGCCCTGGGGGACACCAGTGGTGAGAGCACGTGGTGCGGAGACAGATTCTCGCCACGCCACCTGGTAGGAGCGACCTGTCAGGTAGGACGCAATCCAAGAGTGAGCCGCGCCGGAGATGTCCAACTCTGAGAGGGTGGAGAGGAGGATCTGATGGTTCACAGTATCAAAGGCAGCAGGTAGGTCTAGAAGGATGAGAGCAGAGGAGAGAGCGTTAGCTTTAGCAGTGCGGAGAGCCTCCGTGACACAGAGAAGATTGAATGACCAGTCTTGAAACCTGACTGGTTTGGATCAAGAAGGTCATTCTGAGAGAGATAGCAGGAGAGTTGGCTATAGACGGCACGCTCAAGAGTTTTGGAGAGAAAAGAAAGAAGGGATACTGGTCTGTAGTTGTTGACATCGGAGGGATCGAGTGTAGGTTTTTTGAGGAGGGGTGCAACTCTCGCTTTCTTAAAGATGGAAGGGACATAGCCAGCGGACAAGGATGAGTTGATGAGCGAGGTGAGGTAAGAGAGAAGGTCTCCGGAAATGGTCTGGAGAAGAGAGGAGGGGATAGGGTCAAGCGGGCAGGTTGTTGGGCGGCCGGCCGTCACAAGTCGCAAGATTTCATCTGGAGAGAGAGGGGAGAAAGAAGTCAAAGCATAGGGTAGGGCAGTGTGAGCAGGACCAGCGGTGTCATTTGACTTAATAAATGAGGATCGGATGTCGTCAACCTTCTTTTCAA